TGTTATAGTACATGCAGTACACTAACCAATAGCTGTTATAGACATGTAGTACACTAACCAATAGCTGTTATAGACATGTAGTACACTAACCAATAGCTGTTATAGACATGTAGTACACTAACCAATAGCTGTTATAGACATGTAGTACACTAACCAATAGCTGTTATAGACATGTAGTACACTAACCAATAGCTGTTATTGTACATGTAGTACACTAACCAACAACTGTTATAGTACATGTAGTACACAAACCAATAGCTGTTATAGACATGTAGTACACTAACCAACAGCTGTTATAGTACATGTAGTACACTAACCAACAACCGTATAGTACATGTAGTACACTAACCAATAGCTGTTATAGTACATGTAGTACACTAACCAATAGATGTTATAGACATGTAGTACACAAACCAATAGCTGTTATAGTACATGTAGTACACTAACCAATAGCTGTTATAGTACATGTAGTACACTAACCAATAGATGTTATAGCACATGCAGTACACTAACCAATAGCTGTTATAGTACATGTAGTACACTAACCAATAATTGTTATAGACATGTAGTACACAAACCAATAGCTGTTATAGTACATGTAGTACACTAACCAATAGATGTTATAGTACATGCAGTACACTAACCAATAGCTGTTATAGTACATGTAGTACACAAACCAATAGCTGTTATAGTACATGTAGTACACTAACCTACAACTGTTATAGTACATGCAGTACACTAACCAATAGCTGTTATAGTATATGTAGTACACTAACCAATAGATGTTATAGACATGTAGTACACTAACCAATAGCTGTTGTAGACATGTAGTACACTAACCAATAGCTGTTATAGACATGTAGTACACTAACCAATAGATGTTATAGACATGTAGTACACTAACCAATAGATGTTATAGTTTATTTAGTACACTAACCAATAGCTGTTATGGACATGTAGTACACTAACCAATAGCTGTTATAGACATGTAGTACACTAACCAATAGCTGTTATAGTACATGTAGTACACTAACCAACAGCTGTTATAGTACATGTAGTACACAAACCAATAGCTGTTATAGACATGTAGTACACTAACCAATAGATGTTATAGTACATGTAGTACACTAACCAACAACTGTTATAGTACATGTAGTACACAAACCAATAGCTGTTATAGACATGTAGTACACTAACCAATAGATGTTATAGTACATGTAGTACACTAACGAACAACCGTATAGTACATGTAGTACACTAACCAACAGCTGTTATAGTACATGTAGTACACTAACCAACAACTGTTATAGTACATGTAGTACACTAACCAAAGCTGTTATAGTACATGTAGTACACTAACCAATAGATGTTATAGTACATGTAGTACACTAACCAATAATTGTTATAGACATGTAGTACACAAACCAATAGCTGTTATAGTACATGTAGTACACTAACCAATAGCTGTTATAGTACATGTAGTACACTAACCAACAACTGTTATAGTACATGTAGTACACTAACCAATAGCTGTTATAGTACACGTAGTACACTAACCAATAGATGTTATAGACATGTAGTACACTAACCAATAGATGTTATAGACATGTAGTACATTAACCAATAGCTGTTATAGACATGTAGTACACTAACCAACAGCTGTTATAGTACATGTAGTACACTAACCAATAGCTGTTATAGTACATGTAATACACTAACCAACAGCTGTTATAGTACATGTAGTACACTAACCAATAGCTGTTATAGTACATGTAGTACACTAACCAACAGCAGTTATAGACATGTAGTACACTAACCAACAGCTGTTATAGTACATGTAGTACACTAACCAACAGCTGTTATAGACATGTAGTACACTATCCAACAGCTGTTATAGACATGGAACCAGTGAAGATGGAGTTAAAAAACCCTCGTAAATATCTAAGAGCATTTAGTTACGATCACGAGTGACAGACAATCTATAATTTTGTTGCTGCTATTATATACTGAAAGCCATTAAAAATGCAATTTGACATTCATACTTTCTTTACTCACACTAATTTCAACATATATAATCCTAACTGGCAGATATGTTTTATGTGAACATCTGTGAATAATTTCATCTGAAAATGTCCAGTCAACAACAACATCAGTGACGCAACAACGACATCAAACAAAGGAGGGGTCACTTGCAGTCAATATCGTGTGTGTCCACCGTGCGCTGCAAGACATGCTCGCAATCTTTTGGGCATTGAAAGACACGCATTTCTCAGGAACAGCTGTTGGATGGTCTGCAGCCTCTGATGGTCTGTGGTCTGATCATGACACCACCCCCTCCAAAACGATCATGTTCAAGGACACAGTTTGGCGCAAGTCTTTCTCCTTTACGTCGATAAATCTGTTGACGTCCATCTGCAAAGGATAAGTTAAACTTGACCATGTCCTGTTGCCAAGATTGGCCCGATTTGCTGCCCATCGCTGTCTGGCAAGTCTGTGGCGATGCAATAAGGTTGGACCACGGTACGGGTGACGACACCGGATGTTGAAGGCAGCAAGGCGTCTTGCACCTTTTGGGCGCTGAAATGACGTTGACTTGTCCCAATTGTCCTCCTTGCCTCATCATCAGCTGTTTCGAACCGATTTCACAAGTGTGAAACTCGGATATTGCGGTTTTGTCGAGCTGTTATCACAGGTGGTGCACCAGGTCGCGGACGATCAGCAACACTTCCGGTAGCCCGAAAACGTTGTGTGAGTCGACTTACTGTGGATGGATGCACATTAAAGTGCCTGGCAATCATCACATCTGAAGCACCTTGGCTGACCATACCGATAACCTGATTCCTTTCGTCTTGTGTCAAGTGTGGCATTTTCTCAAAGTGATTGAGTTACACAATTCCTTGGGCCTGGGTGCAGGTAATGCATGTGCACAACGTGTTTCATGTATGTGGTTGTGTTTACGAGAAATGTCAAAGGTTCAGTTTTAAGTATCAAAGTTCATGTGAGAGGAATGCTCCGGGACTCGAACTCGAAATGGGCCAGAATAACAGCCTTTTATCCCTACATCCTCTGTATCGCAGTAAAAAATCTTCAATAGAACTTTTGTACGTTTCAGGACAACAAATACCAATTGCGTTTTTAATGGCTTACAGTATATGTATATTAACTTTTTAAAAGACAAAATGAAGACAGGGTATATGATGTCAATCAAACAGAGAATCTTCACATCGGTAAGCCTGCAATGGTTGCTAGTTGGGTTTAACGCTGCTCAGGATGACATTCCAGCATGTCACGATTAACATAGTTCATTCTTTCTCCTGTATCGGTTTCAGTAGGATTAAGATTGTTGATTGTTTTCCTGTGTCGGTTCCAGTAGGATTAACATTGTTGATTGTTTCCCGGTGTCGGTTCCAGTAGGATTAACATTGTTGATTGTTTCCCCGTGTCGGTTCCAGTAGGATTAACATTGTTGATTGTTTCCCCGTGTCGGTTCCACTAGGATTAACATTGTTGATTGTTTCCCCGTGTCGGTTCCAGTAGGATTAACATTGTTGATTGTTTCCCCGTGTCGGTTCCAGTAGGATTAACATTGTTGATTGTTTCCCCCGTGTCGTCCCAGTAGGATTAACATTGTTAAGTGTTTCCCTCGTGTCTGTTCCAGTAGGATTAAGATTGTTGATTGTTTTCCTGTGTCGGTTCCACTAGGATTAACATTGTTGATTGTTTCCCCGTGTCGGTTCCAGTAGGATTAACATTGTTAAGTGTTTCCCCGTGTCGGTTTCAGTAGGATTAAGATTGTTGGTTGTTTTCCTGTGTCGGTTCCAGTAGGATTAACATTGTTAAGTGTTTCCCTCGTGTCGGTTCCAGGTAGGATTAAGATTGTTGATTGTTTCTCCCGTGTCGGTTCCAGTAGGATTAACATTGTTGATTGTTTCCCCGTGTCGGTTCCAGGTAGGATTAACATTGTTGATTGTTTCCCCCGTGTCGTCCCAGTAGGATTAACATTGTTGATTGTTTCCCCGTGTCGTCCCAGTAGGATTAACATTGTTAAGTGTTTCCCCCGTGTCGGTTCCAGTAGGATTAACATTGTTGATTGTTTCCCCCGTGTCGTCCCAGTAGGATTAACATTGTTAAGTGTTTCCCTCGTGTCGGTTCCAGTAGGATTAAGATTGTTGATTGTTTTCCTGTGTCGGTTCCAGTAGGATTAAGATTGTTGATTGTTTCCCCGTGTCGGTTCCAGTAGGATTAACATTGTTAAGTGTTTCCCTCGTGTCGGTTCCAGTAGGATTAACATTGTTGATTGTTTCCCCGTGTCGGTTCCAGTAGGATTAACAATGTTGATTGTTTCCCCCGTGTCGGTTCCAGTAGGATTAACATTGTTGATTGTTTCCCCCGTGTCGTTTCAGTAGGATTAACATTGTTGATTGTTTCCCCCGTGTCGGTTCCAGTAGGATTAACGTAGTTCATAGTTTCCCTGTGTCGGTTCCAGTAGGATTAACATTGTTGATTGTTTCCCCCGTCTCGGTTCCAGTAGGATTAACATTGTTGATTGTTTCCCCGTGTCGGTTCCAGTAGGATTAACATTGTTGATTGTTTCCCCGTGTCGGTTTCAGTAGGATTAACATTGTTGATTGTTTCCCCCGTCTCGGTTCCAATAGGATTAACATTGTTGATTGTTTCCCTGTGTCGGTTCCAGTAGGATTAACATTGTTGATTGTTTCCCCGTGTCGGTTCCAGTAGGATTAACATTGTTGATTGTTTCCCCGTGTCGGTTTCAGTAGGATTAACATTGTTGATTGTTTCCCCGTGTCGGTTTCAGTAGGATTAACATTGTTGATTGTTTCCCCCGTGTCGGTTTCAGTAGGATTAAGATTGCTGATTGTTTCCCCGTGTCGGTTCCAGTAGGATTAACATTGTTGATTGTTTCCCCCGTGTCGGTTCCAGTAGGATTAACATTGTTGATTGTTTCCCTGTGTCGGTTCCAGTAGGATTAACATTGTTGATTATTTCCCCCGTGTCGGTTCCAGTAGGATTAAGATTGCTGATTGTTTCCCCGTGTCGGTTCCAGTAGGATTAACATTGTTGATTGTTTCCCCCGTCTCGGTTCCAATAGGATTAACATTGTTGATTGTTTCCCCCGTGTCGGTTCCACTAGGATTAACATTGTTGATTGTTTCCCCGGTGTCGGTTCCACTAGGATTAACATTGTTGATTGTTTCCCCCGTGTCGGTTCCACTAGGATTAACATTGTTGATTGTTTCCCCCGTGTCGGTTCCAGTAGGATTAACATTGTTGATTGTTTCGCTGTGTCGGTTCCAGGTATGATTAACATTGTTGATTGTTTCCCCCGTGTCGGTTCCAGGTAGGATTAACATAGTTCATAGTTTCCCTGTGTCGGTTCCAGTAGGATTAACATGCTGCTGTAATGCTGTACCACTTGTGTGACTACGGGGATATGTTGGGGGTATATACACACACAGGACTTGCTGTATTCCTGGAAGTGGGGAACAGATCTTAGATTCGTTGGCTTGTTGTTGACCATGAGGTATACTGGTACAGAATGTGTCTTCACTACGGTGAAGTAATGTGACGGCAGCAGTGGGCAGCAACATATGCGGTGTCAGTATCAACACGATTTACAGGCGGTATAATTGCGCAATATGTTGATTGATTAATATCTGTTCATCTATTCTTGGCTAAACCTGTAGCAAAACGTTATATGTTTGATGAGAAATATCAGATTCTCAACATGTAATCAGAAATGTAAAATTCTATATTTTGGCACTCTATACTGATGCAGACCTGGGGAATGGGCTCTCAGTTGATCAAGTTTGTTTCATGTATAATACCATATGTTGTGTGTGACTTATCCCTGCATATCATTGATTGGTGTGCCCTATCCCTGCATATTATTGGTTGGTGTGCCCAAACCCTGCATATTATTGGTCGGCGTGCCTTATCCCTGCATATCATTGACTGGTGTGCCTTATCCCTACACATCATAGACTGGTGTGCCTTATCCCTGCATATCATTGACTGGTGTGCCTAATCCCTGCATATCATTGATTGGTGTGATTAATCCCTGCATATCATTGATTGGTGAGCCTAATCCCTGAAAATCATTGATTGGAGTGCCTTATCCCTGCATATCATTAACTGGTGTGCCTTATCCCTGCATATCATTGATTCGTGTGCCTAATCCCTGCATATTATTGATTGGTGTGCCTAATCCCTGCATATTACAGGTTGGTGTGCCTTATCACTGCATATCAATGATTGGTTTGCCTTATCCCTGCATATTATTGGTTGGTGTGCCTAATACCTGCATATCATTGATTGGTGTGCCAAATCCTTGCATATTATTGGTTGGTGTGCCTAATGCCTGCATATCATTGATTGGTGTGCCTTATCCCTGCATACCATTGACTGGTGTGCCATATCCCTGCATATCATTGACTGGTGTGCCTAATCCCTGCATGACATTGATTGGTGTGCCTTATCCTTGCATATCATTGACGAGTGTGCCTAATCACTGCATATAATTCATTGGTGTGCCTAATCCCTGCATATCATGTAGTGGTGGGCTTTATCCCTGCATAATATTGATTGATGTGTCTAATGCCTGCATATCATTGATTGGTGTCCCTAACCCCTGCATATCGTTGATTGGTGTGCCTTATCCCGACTTATCATTGGTTGGTGTGCCTAATCCCTGCATAACGTTGATTGGTGTGCCTTATCCTTGAATATCATTGACGGGTGTGCCTTATCCCTGCATATTATTGATTGGTGTGCCTAATCCCTGCATATTAGTGGTTGGGGTGCTTTATCCCTGCATATCATTGACTGGTGTGCCTTATCCCTGCTGCTAATGCATATCATTGATTGGTGTGCCTCATCCCGACATATCATTGATTGGTGTGCCTTATCCCTGCATATTATTGGTTGGGTGCCTTATCCCTGCATATCATTGACTGGTGTGCCTTATCCCTGCATATTTTTTATTAGTATGCCTAATCCCTGCATATCATTGACTGGTGTGCCTAATCCCGACATATCATTGATTGGAGTGCCTTATCCCTGCATTATCATTGATTGGTGTGCCTTATCCCTGCATATTATTGGTTGGTGTGCCTTATCCCAGCATATCATTGGTTGGTGTGCCTTATCCCTGCATATCATTGATTGGTGTGCCTAATCCCTGCATATCATTGTTTGGAGTGCCTTATCCCTGCATATCATTAACTGGTGTGCCTAATCCCTGCATATAATTGATTGATGTGCCTAATCCCTGCATATAATTGATCGGTGTGCCTAATCCCTGCATATCATTGATTGGTGTGTCTTATCCCTGCATATCATTGATTGGAGTGCCTTATCCCTGCATTATCATCGACTGGTGTGCCTTATCCCTGCATATTTTTGATTAGTATGCCTAATCCCTGCATATCATTGACTGGTGTGCCTAATCCCGACATATCATTGATTGGAGTGCCTTATCCCTGCATTATCATTGACTGGTGTACCTTATCCCTGCATATTTTTGATTGGTGTGCCTTATTCCTGCATATTATTGGTTGGTGTGCCTTATCCCAGCGTATCATTGATTTGTGTGCCTAATCCCTGCATATAATTGATTAGTGTGCCTTATCCCTGCATATTATTGGTTGGTGTGCCTTATCCCAGCATATCATTGGTTGGGGTGCCTTATCCCTGCATATCATTGACTGGTGTGCCTAATCCCTGCTTATCATTGATTGGTGTGCCTAATCCCTGCATATAATTGATTGGTGTGCCTAATCCCTGCATATCATTGATTGGTGTGCCTTATCCTGACATATCATTGGTTGGTGTGACTCATCCCTGCATATTATTGACTGGTGTGCCTCATCCCTGCATATAATTGATTGGTGTGCCTAATCCCTGCATATAATTGATTGATGTGCCTAAATCCTGCCCCTAATCCCTGCATATCATTGATTGTGTGCCTTATCCTGACATATCATTGGTTGGTGTGACTCATCCCTGCATATTATTGACTGGTGTGCCTCATCCCTGCATATAATTGATTGGTGTGCCTAATCCCTGCATATCATTGATTGGTGTGCCTTATCCCTGCATATTATTGATTGATGTGCCTATTCTCTGCAAATCATTGACTGGTGTGCCTTATCCCTGCATATCATTAACTGGTGTGCTTTATCCCTACATAACATTGATTGGTGTGCCTTATCCCTGCATATCATTGACGGGTGTGCCTTATCCCTGCATAACATTGATTGGTGTGCCTAATCATTGCATATTAGTGGTTGGTGTGCCTAATCCCTGCATATCATTGACTGGTGTGTCTAATCCTGCATAACATTGATTGGTGTGCCTTACCCCTGCATATTATTGATTGGTGTGCCTAACCCCTGCATATTATTGGTTGGTGTCCCTAATCCCTGCATATCATTGATTGATGTGCCTAATCCCTGCACATCATTGACGGGTGTGCGTTATCCCTGCATATTATTGATTGGTGTGCCAAATCCCTGCATATTATTGGTTGGTGTCCCTAATCCCTGCATATCATTGATTGATGTGCCTAATCCCTGCATATCATTGATTAATTTGCCTAATCCCTGCATATCATTGATTGGTGTGCCTAATCCCTGCATGTCATTGATTGGTGAGCCTTATCCCTGCATATCATTGATTGATGTGCCTAATCCCTGCATTTCATTGATTGGTGTGCCTAATCCCTGCATATCATTGATTGGTGTGCCTTATCCCTGCATATAATTGATTGATATGCCTAATCCCTGGATATAATTGATTGATGTGCCTAATCCCTGCATATCATTGATTGATGTGCCTTATCCCTGCATATCATTGATTGGTGTGCCTTATCCCTGCATATCATTGATTGGTGTGCCTAATCCCTGCATATCATTGGTTGGTGTGCCTTATCCCTGCATATCATTGATTGGTGTGCCTAATCCCTGCATATCATTGATTGGTGTGCCTAATCCCTGCATATCATTGGTTGGTGTGCCTTATCCCTGCATATCATTGATTGGTGTGCCTTATCCCTGCATATCATTGGTTGGTGTGCCTTATCCCGACATATCATTGGTTGGTGTGCCTTATCCCTACATATCATTGGTTGGTGCGCCTTATCCCTGCATATCATTAACTGGTGTGCCTAATCCCTGCATTTAATTGATTGGTGTGCCTAATCCCTGCATATCATTGATTGATGTGCCTTATCCCTGTATATTATTGATTGATGTGCCTAATGCCTGTATATCATTGGTTGGTGTGCCTTATCCCTGCATATCATTGGTTGGTGTGCCTTATCCCTGCATATCATTGGTTGGTGTGCCTTATCCCTGCATATCATTGGTTGGTGTGCCTTATCCCGACATATCATTGGTTGGTGTGCCTTATCCCGACATATCATTGGTTGGTGTGCCTTATCCCTGCATATCATTGATTGGTGTACTTTATCCCTGCATATCATTGACTGGTGTGCCTTATCCCTGCATATCATTGATTGGTGTGCCTAATCCCTGCATTTTATTGATTGGTGTGCCTAATCCCTGCATATCATTGATTGGTGTGCCTTATCCCTGCATATCATTGATTGGTGTGCCTAATCCCTGCATTTTATTGATTGGTGTGCCTTATCCCTGCATATCATTGACTTGTGTGCCTTGTCCCTGCATATAATTGATTGGTGTGCCTAATCCCTGCATTTTATTGATTGGTGTGCCTTATCCCTGCATATCATTTACTGGTGTGCCTTATCCCTGCATGTAAATGATTGGTTTGCCTTATCCCTGCATATTATTGATTGGTGTGCCTTATCCCTGAATATCAGTGATTGGTTTGCCTTATCCCTGCATATAATTGATTGGTGTGCCTTATCCCTGCATATAATTGATTGGTGTGCCTAATGGTTGCATGTTATTGGTTGATGTGCCTACTCAATGCATATTCCCTACGTCATATCATCTTCCGTATTCTATGTTCCCTACATCATATCATCTTCCGTATTCTATATTACGTACATCACATCATCTTCCGTATGCTATATTCCCTACATCATATCATCTTCCGTATTCTATATTACCTACATCATATCATCTTCCGTATGCTATATTCCCTATATCATACCATCTTAAGTATGCTATATTACCTACATCATATCATCTTCCGTATTCTATATTACCTACATCATATCATCTTTCGTATGCTATATTCCCTATATAATATCATCTTCCGTATGCTATATTCCCTACATCATATCATCTTCCGTATTCTATATTACGTACATCATATCATCTTCCGTAGAGTATATTCCCTACATCATATCATCTTCCGTATTCTA